GCCTGCATCTTGTCCTCAACCAAAAGCAGGTTTTGACTCCTCAAGCCCATCTTGTCTATTCTCTCATGTTGGTGAAGAAACAAACCACCACAGCAGCGAAGATCCCTCATTGAAGAGGCAAAGCTGCACATCCCCCACAGCCAGCTCGTAGTCAACCTCATATTAACAATATCTAACCCAATCGGGTTGAGGTGTACCCTGTCCTGCTGCTTCACATCCCTATTATTTCCTGCAAGCTCAACTTGATGAATCACCAAACCACCAATACGTCTAATGAAATGCCAAACTGATATGTTGCATTTTTGCCTACTGCGCTCTAACGCACTAGAATTGGGAAACGTAGAACATAGGGGGTGAGGAATAACCTCAAACCAAACCAACAGTAAATAAGTAAACAAAGCCAAACACTGGACCAGATCTTGCTTACACACATGAATTAAAACAACCATTCTACCTCAGTCCAAGTCATCCCCACCTGCATGAATGAAGAGTACTATTCTCCCTCTGAAACATACAATGATTCCATCTTAGTCAGCCATTGGTGTGTTGGCAGCCGAGGTGGCATTTACGTGCAAGAGATGAGACCCCACAGGAGATATCTTCATTAGCCATACGACTGACTGAATAGAAAGGAGAGTGTTATATAACAACCTTGTTACACTAGTACCAGTGCCAGAAATGCTGACTGAATATCCATCTTTGGTTGTTAAGGTTATTAAGAAAATGGAAGACATTTTTTGCCATTAATGCCGGGTAACCCTTCTGCACTCACATACTTCTAGATCTTCTCCTGGTTTGTTTTGTAAGTGATTTAAATTGACTTGATTGCTTGGTTCCATGTTCAGGTGTTAGCAACCAGAGGCTAATTGCTAACTTTAACGGTTGTTTCCCAATTGCATTACCATAAGTAACTCTGAATTTCTAACTGATGTTATTGTTTTCAAATACCTACTAACTATGTAGAGCATAAAGGAATCTATTAACTGTTACTCACCATTTGTTCTTCAACCTTGCTGTTAAAGTTTAATGACTACCGCTAACCCTCAATATTTAAAAACTATTTCTGCTTGGTGGAAAAAACAAAAAATTAGGTGAGCAACCGCAAATGGTCCATGTATGCTTTAGGAAAAAATACTTGTTAAGTATAGGGCATTACATTTAAATCCTAAAGCACTTATTAAACCCTACTGAACCATATTAAGTCATATTAACCCCTTAAGGATTGGACTGTTTTTGCGATGTACATTTGCGACCAGGCCTCTTATTACACTTTTGTGGTGTTTGTGCTTAGCTGTAATTTTCCGCTCTCTCATTTACTGTTTCTATACAAATTATATATTGATTTTTTTCAGGACAAAAAGGGCTTTCTTTACATACCATTATTTATATAATCTCATGTAATTTATTATAAAAAAATAAAAAAATATGATGAAAAATTGAAAAAAATATATGTTTTTTACTTTTACTTGAATAATCTTTTACTCATCGAGAAAAGCGAATGAAAAAAACTGCTAAATACATTCAAAATGTTGTCCTGAGTTGAAAAATACCCAGTGTTTAAATGCTTTTTTGCAAGTTATAGGGCTATAGGTACAAGTAGGATATTGTGCTTTCAAAATCATAAATCTCTGAATAATACCCCACATGTACATATTTTTTTTTTAAAAGTAGATAACCCAGGGTATTCAATATGGGGTATGTCCAGTCTTTTTTAGTAGCCACTTAGTCGCAAACACTGCCCAAAGTTAGCGTTCATATTTGTTTGTGGTTGAAAAAAGTAAAAAACTAAATTGAACTCTAAATTTGGCCAGTGTTTGTGACTAAGTGGCGACTAAAAAAGACTGGACATACCCCATTTGCAATACTTTGGGTTGTCTTCTTTTGCAAATGGTATGCCATCATGGGGGTAATTCTCATTCCTGGGCTACCATACGCTCTCAAAGGTAACGTAACCAACCTGGCCATTTTCAATGTAAAAATATTTGACCCATATATTTGACCCTGTAAGTTTCAAAAACGCTATAAAACCTGTACATAGGGGGTACTGTTATACTCGGGAGACTTAACACAAATATTAGTGTTTCAAAACAGGAAACGTATCACAACAATTATATCATCAATAAAAGTGCTGTTTGTGTGTGAAAAAATGCAAAAAAAGGTCACTTTCACTGACAATATCATCGCTGTGATATGTTTTACTGTTTTAATCACTAATATTTGTGTTCAGCGAAGTCTCCCGAGTAAAACAGTACCCCCCATGTACAGGTTTTAGCGTGTCATAGAAAGTTACAGAGTAAAATATAGTGCTAGCAAATTAAATTCTCTGGACTTTTGGCCTGGGTTGGCAGGTAGGTCCCTCAAATTGCAATCAATAAAATTACTTAATTATGTAAAAATATTACATAAATACACACGTAGAATTTAAATGTATATGCATATTTATATATTTGAAGTCTACGTGTATATTTATATAATTATTTATGTAATTTTGTATATGGACATATGTATTTTTCGTATTATTTTTATTTATTTAGAAATACATAGATATATATACAATTTCATTCTATGTGTATTTTGATATAACTATCAAAATACAGTTAAAATAAAATTTCATATAGATATATAATTTTTGTTATTATTTTTATGTTTTTATTTTAAATTACTTATTTGTATTTTATAATATGTATATACAATATATATAGTTATTATATATATATATATATATATACGTGTATTTTTATATTAATATATGTACATATGTCACACACATATATAATTCTTTTTTAATTTAATAACATTAACAGTTATTTTTTATTTTATTTTACACTAGCAGGGAGACTGCCTGTCAGCACAGACAGTCCCCCTGCAGGCAGGCAGACACTAGGACACCTATTGTGACCATGTGATCGCTCCGTTGAGCGATCACATGGCCACAGGGGTCCTAATCCGCCGCGAGGAGACTACCTGGGCTGCAGGCAGTCTCCCCACACGGGAGCAGCACCGATCGCTGCCAGGGGAACGACGGCGATCAGGTAAGTACATCTGACCGTTAGGGCGGTTCAGGACCGCTAAAATGCCGATGATGGTCCTGAACCGTCCTCGGTCCTGAAGGGGTTAAACCATATGAAACCACATTAAACCACACTGAACAGCAATTAAAAGAAGACCAAACACGCAAGTTAAATATAAAATGTATTATATGAAAACAATTATACGTCATTCAAATGACAGTTCGTAGAAAAGAATTATCTAAAAAAATATGACAATGAATAAGAGCAGCAGGGCTGATATGTACATGGCAAAATAAAAAAAAATACATACAAATAAATATAAAATACAATACACATAGAACACATGCTCCATGATATGTACATCAGCCATCATGTGTAAATGTAGTAGACTGGAAATGAATATCAATTAATGCTAAATCTACTTCTAATTGTAGCATGATTATAGCTTTGGATACATATGTAACAAACACATAGATTCTAAGCTCATTTGTGCAGTACCTTCTTCTCATCTAAATATCCCCTTTATATAATAGTAAAGCATTGCAGATTATGTTGGTGCGATTTAAATTCTTATAATATTAATATGCAAAATACATCACTAAATATATTTTTATTGATTTCTTCCAGAGAGAGTTAGAGTAAGCTGGTATGACAACATTTACAATGAAGGGATTATGGCTTAAAATACACTAGATGAATAGCCATCTCTCACACTGGCTCATCACACATTGGATAAACATGGACCAATATGTTTTAGAATTATTTTACAAAGACCATAACATGTATAAACAGAAATGTGGCACTAATTCAAGATTTTCCTAGTCTTGACATCAGAAAATACAGATTTTATTAAAGACAGGTGGCGAATATTATGCATAAACTTTATTTACTTAACTTCAGCAGAAAAATACATTTAAATAAAGTTTAGTGAATAACATAAGAAAAAAACTGTCAAGTAACTGAAGTGGAACTTCAGTAGCCAATGCGCATCCAGAATAGTCTTTATATTTAATGATCCCCAATCTTCTCGACTCTAGAAGAATAGTCTAACCGAATAAATTCTTAGGAACAGGTAACACAAAAACAATGGAAATTCCAAACTGGATCAAGCTGAAATATAAATAAGAGGGTGCGTTAATGAGAGGGATAATACTAGCCTCCTGTCTTTAAGAAAATCTATATTTTCTGAAGTCGAGACTTTTATGCATGTTAAAAGCTGAACTAAAATTGATTGTATAAAAATATATATATATATATAATTAAATCACAGAATACGTTTTGACACATGAGAGTTAGGCCTAAAATAAAACCTTTTTAAAAATAGGTTCCGAAGACCAATCTGCAGCTTTTAATAAATCTGATAAAGAGCCTCCTGCTTGAAAAACCTTAGTAGACATAGCTCTATGGAAGAGTGAGCCCCAAATATAGAGATATCAATACCTGCCATAAACATTGTTTGTGTTACCCATCTGGCTACAGATGTAGAAGAGACAGGGAGAAAAGGTTACCGAAAATAAATTAATAGTTGAGACAAATTAGAGTCTTATAGAAGAGGTTTTAAGCTCATAAGTTTGAAGACAATTAACCACACATAAAAGAGGATGATCGGAGCCTGGCTGGCTAACTGAGTAAACGCGTGTTTGAAGAGCTCCAGAGCCTGACAAGCCAATTAAATTATTAAATCAGGACAGTCTGCAGTTTTCACTGCATAACATCCTTCCCCACACAGTATAGAACTTGGTGAACTGAACGGTACCAGACTCAGGACTATTTGGGTCCAAATTGCAGGGCTCCTGCATTTTGCGTTCTTTAGGCACGATAGGCATATGAGGGACGGCCGCTCTCCAGGCGCTGAATCCTGCTGAAATAAGTGATTGCCCCCCCCCCCCCCTTTGGACCAATGGGGGTCATCCCGGTCCCAGGAGTCCACCTACAGGTACATCTTGAACCTAAAGTTAATGAGTGCAGAGACACCGTGTGGCTTACAAGATGGTGATGATCACTACTGTTGACTCAGATGCGACCTATGTTGCCGCATCTCTAGCTAAACTGGACCTCATCTTTGAGAGATTTCTGGCTACCATAGCAGCAGGGCAGTTATGCAAGCAGCCACCTACAGCGACTAAACCTGAAGCATCAAAGCAACCTTCTTGTGTACAACGGCCCACTGCACCCTCTAAGCCCACACACAGCCTGGCAGATCGACGCGAGCCCACCCCCTACCTTGCAGATACCAGGGCTGCTCACAACTGGCTGTCGCCCAGGACCAGAAAGGCCCAATCTGAAGTCTATGGCAATGAGGAGCTCGCTCAGGGCCCAGGGTGCTAGGATCTTGAGATTCACGACCCCCCAAGATGGTGGCTCTCGTCAACGTGAAATCATGTGGCAGTCGTATGCGGGTTCAGAATCAAAGCGCCCAAACTACGAATACTAACATACAGAAGACCTCAAGCCGAGAGCTCAACAGTCTTCTCACAAACTGGGAATCAATTGAAAATGGAGGGAGCTCATAGATGCCATTGGGTGCACTAGGGCGACCCCACTGTCCTGAGAATCACCTAACCTAAACATATTATGGTGGACTGCTGTACTATACCTTTCTCTTACTGTCTCTAGCCCGAAGCTCCAGCAGGCATTTTTATTATTAATTTATTTTTATTTTATTCAGCAATAATTGTTTGGCTACGTGAGTTCACCGAGTGGTGTGTGCTCCACATGTAATTCTCAGTCGGTGACTCCAGTGGCTACATACTCATACCCCTGATTTTAACACTAGTCTTATTAAGTGTAGCAAGGGTTGCATGTCTTGCTGCAGTGGTATGATTCAACATGTCTAGTAATTAAACTTGTCTCGCCATGCATCCAGCATATACTGAACCCTTAAATAACACAATGCAGCCTATATGCCATATATCAATAGATACCGCCTTTCATATACACAGCAGCTTGTTCACACTGCAAGCTGCATAGCCTGCAGTTAGTCTACACATTACTGTCACTGTTATGGGCAACCTAAGCTTTGGCCTTATCCTGACCTACTCGGTTTTATCCCTGTATCAGCAGCTGATTATCACTTGTGTATTCTTTATCTTGTTACTCTATGAACACTATTGACACGCCTAGCCTTCATGTTAAGCCGTGTTTGTTTCGCTTGTATACCTTAATTTAAAAATGAGGCTGTCATAACAAGGAGTGTATACCATTGTACAGATTACAGCGATTTCGTTGTGTGAAAATTTGTTATACCTCCCTTTTTTTCTGTACCCAACCTCCCATTGCCTCAATAAAAGAAAGAATGGGAAAAAAAAATTCAAATTGATTTCAGTAGCTATATCCATATATTTCAATTCTGCCAAACAGTGGAGAGAGCATGTTGTAAACATTAGCTTGGAGCTGACTTGTGATGTGAATACAGACTACAGAAGCAACATATTGTCAAATGTGTAATTTTTCAAGGCTGAAAATAAAGGAAAGAACAAAGAAAAAATAAATATGAGGATGATCAGGAAAAGAAGGGTAGAAAACAGAATGCAGATTAGTTTTAGTACGTCTAATATAAAAAATTGAACACCATCCAGTGTATATTGTCTATTATTTAGGTCTAAAGCCTTAACATTGAAAACTCTTTTGAAAGAAAAGGGGGTGTTTGCCCACAGGAAATTACTCAATTGGGTTACAGTTTGCTGATATCACTGAACGATATACATTAATAGTTTTCAAATGAAAAAAATTTTTTAGGATATTTCCTAAGTCGGAATGTACGGGATCCACATCCTGGTCCAAGCGCCAATTAAGCCAAATTTTCTGTAACTTGCATGGGTACCTGGTGCCCTTGCTTCTGAGGGTATGTTTCGAGTTGAATCTGAAAACTGTGTATGAGATTCATGTGACACTTCATGAGTGATGCTATTAGAGGTAGTTGGTCTGATATCACCAGGGGGTGAAGATTCCCGTTCGGATCGTGCAGAGAATCCCAACGCATTTGTATGAGTCTTGGGTAATCTATTAGCATGCTGAAAAGTTGAGGGAACCAAGGCTGGGATGGCCAGAGGGGAGTTATCATTACTAGGGTTCATTTTTGAGACTATGCCTTCAGAAGAACCCGAGAAATCATTGCAAACGGTGGAAATGCATAGTTGACTCTGTTCCTCCAACATTGAAGAACAGCATCTTGATATAGTGCTTCTGGATCTGGACGCCAGCTGAAAAATTATTTCAATTGGGGGTTGAGGCGTGATGCAAAGAGGTCGTATCGGAATGGACCCCATAGGGAGTACAGACTTTGGAAAATTATGGGATCCAATATCCAATCGCTGTAATCTCATAGGGATCAGGAGTTCCAATCCACTATCGTATTGGAAAGTCCGGGAAGATATTACGCTCTCAAAACAATGTTTCGATCGAACCAAAAGTGCCAAAAATCTTTGGCAATATCCGCCAGTTGTTTGGATTTTGTGGCTCCTAAACGATTCACATATTGGACAGCTGAAATATTGTCCATCTTGAGTAGGATGCAACAATTTGATTTTTCTTTTGCAAAACTTTGTAAAGCAAAAAACCCTGCCATGAGTTCCAGACAATTTATATGGATACGTGTCTCTGTCAGAGACCATTTGACTCATGTGGAATTTCCTCCGCAATGGGCACCTCAACCAATCCAACTCGCATCAAATTTTATAATTAGATCTGGGAACGATTTGAAAATGGCTTTCCCGTTCCACATTTGGACACGATCTAGCTACCAGAACAGTTCTGTTCTAGTATGTGGAGTTAAAGCAATCGTGCCTGAATAGCAAAGACCATTTTGTTAATGTTCTCTCTTTAGCCTTTGGAGTGCATGGCAGTGAAGAGTGGCCAGGAATATCACTTGAATTGAAGATGATAATTTGTCCACAATTCTCACTAGAGATCTGATGGGAATAAGTTCTTTGTTTAAAACTGATCTGATCTATTTCTGAATTGTCTTCAGTTTCAATGATGGAAGACTGAAAGTAGCCAGTTTGGAATTTACAAAAAATCACAGAAATTCTATTTCCTGTAAGGGAGTTAAAATGGACTTTTCGTAATTTATTACAAAGCCAAGACTCGTTAAAAGTTTCAACATCCATTGAGAATGTATTTGAAGAGTATGTAAACTCTTTGACATTATTAGAATATCGTCTGGATATATAATCAATCTCACTCCTCTGCTCCGAAGAAGGGATATTACTGATTTGAGTATTTTGGTGAAACACAAAGGTGCAGAAGATAAACCAAAAGGCAATGATTTGAATTTCAATTTCTTCCCTTCCCATATGAACTGTAAATAATTATGACAGGAGTGGTGAATAGGTACTGTGAGGTACGTATCTTTCAAATCTATTTTCATCAACCAGTCGTTGAGTATTAACAGATCTTTGAGATAAAAAAGCCCTCCATCTTGAAATGATGGTATCTGACAAAATTGTTTAGACATTTTAAATTCATGACTAGTCTGTGACCAGCATCCTTCCTTTTTACCAGGAATATATTGCTTATGAAACCTGTAGTGTTCATGGGAACTTGGATAATGGCATTTTTTTTACAATAAAGTTTGTATTTCTTGGTGTACCAGAGTCTGGTCTTGACTCAAATATTTTATTGGGAAAGGTACCTTTGTTTGTACAGGATTTGAAATAAAATCTATTTTGTAACCCAGAACAGTGTTTAAAATCCAGGCATCGTTTGTGATCTGATTTCAAACATGGAAATAGTGAGTGAGTCTGCCTCCTAACCTTTCTTGGGAAGAAGGGACAATTTTTATACTCACCAGAGTATGATCTGAAACGAGACATTCCTCAATGTCCTCTGGATCTCCATGGGCTGCCACGAAGGGGGAAGAATGGATATGTTTGTTGTGTATTGAATGAGGATCTGTTTGATTGGTATGTGTTCCTTGGAACCTGTCTACTATGATGGAAGGGGCTGGAAGAACGGTTCAGTCCTTTTCCAGCCCTTCCAAAAACCTTAGGGTTGAAAACTTTCTTCAATAAGGTCTGAGCCTTATCTAATGTACTAAAAAGGTTGACATATTTATTTATGTCTTTAATAAAAGACTCTATAAATAAGAGTCCTTCTGCCTCTGGTCCTGCTTCTGAAGTGGCTAGGTTTGTTAATTGCGGCTCAATGTTTAAGAGAATGATCTGCGGCGTTCAGTAGTTAGAGCCAAATTTGCATTCCCCCATGCCCCCCCCCCAAAAACACACAATTTCTTGTGTCCATCCTCTAAGAATACTGATACTTGGGAAATTCCCTGAAGCAGCAGTTTGCTCTAAAATCTTAAAGATTTTTGCCACTGGACTAGAAATATCCACTAATTTATCCTGGCAGGATTTTAAGGACCTGTCGAGCCCTTTGTTGTTATTCTCCCTGATTGTGTAAGGAATTGAACCAAAGTAAGATCTAAATCAGGCGTCTGTTCAACTTTTTTACATAAAGTCGGTCTAGGACACTCAGCCCTCAGTTTATTTCTGGTTGCCTGGTCAAGGGGTTTCCTTTACCATAATTCAAGGTATTTGGCCACGTGAGCCATAGGCACCCATTCGGCTAAATGGGGGTGTCTTTTACGGTCAGGCTTAAATAAAGGTTTTCCTGACATATCTGTAATGATGTTCTCGTCATCTGTCTTAGAAGAATGCCTTAGAATATGAGGAATATTTAGAATCAGATTCTGCATCAGATTTCTCGTCTTGAGAAAATGAAGATGAATCGTCAGAGAAGGTTTTGTAGGATTCAGGATAAAAGCAAAATATAAAAGGAGGGCTGCGCCAGAATAAACAGTGTCCAGTATCAATAGTTATTGAAGATAAAAAGTCCGACCTAAAAAGGTATCCTCTCTGTCGTCTTTAGGTACAGGAACGCGATCTTCAGGTAATATATAAAAGATAAAAGGAGAGAACAAACGATGGTGCAGAATGTACGGTTCAAATGAAGTAAAAATTGATTAATGATAACGAACTCACAATTTCCAGAGCTTCTGTCCAGCTCTAGGGTAAAGCGCACACAGCGGTATAATCCCCGCTTATGGGATTTATGATGGGTTCGTCAGGGTATCTAAAACTCAAAGGAAACAGAAACAGCCAAATAGTGCTCTCTGTATAACTGTATATTATAAAAGAGAATAAAAAAAACGTACTTACAAGTACAGAGCAGACCAACTGCTCTTTGATGTCAGCGCTGGTGGAATAATCCCCACCTATGGATTTCTTTGGTTGTCAGGAACTTGTAGAGATAGTATTAAAATCGGAATAGAGTGTATATAAAATATAACAATGAACTAAAACGATAAATAGCCAGGGTACATGTATAAA